ACTCCTGATCCCTCACGGCTCTAATGGGAGCTGGGGGTCACCCCTAACACATGTCCTGCCTATATGGTACAACCACAATGCACAGGAACAGACAACTGCTGTTTGCCAGCTGTCCCATGGGCATCACCTGGTGTGGTTGCATTGATCCCAGCATAAACAGCCTCTGGCCTGCGCACAGGCATTCCCAACACTAAGCACAGGCTCAGACAGTATATAGGCCTTCACCCAGTGCAGTGGAAAACACCCTATGCCAGCACCACTCCCTTCTGTTGAGGCCTGCCTAACAACACATGCTGCTACATACAGTGCATACTGTATATGAACAGACAAAATACACATACACACTTGTTCATGTCATTGCAAAATATGTTATTGCACAGTTTGTGCCCATCCCAACCCCACCGATCCCCACCCTTAAAACACATCAAGTACAAAGCAACAAAACGTCAAGCAAATGCCGATCATTGGACAGCTCAGCTGTCTATCTACAATCTACATCCTTGAGGCTTCTTCACTGATCTCAGTACAGTTCTATTCTATAAGTACACAGTGTTTACTTGTACCCTGTTTCACAGAGCGTTTAAATGTGTACTGTGAAATACAGTCTTGGCACTTGACTTTCAAACGTCAATTTGTTGGTTAATAAGTATCTTGGTGCAACGAGAGAATTTGGGTACATTTAACTGTGTCATTCCCCAGTATGATTCCAGGCCCTGTGCTGCCCCCTGCCAGATTTTGACAGCCCGTATAGGGTATGGGTGTCTCTCTATGCCACTAGCAGCTGAACCATAAATTAGCTTGTATAATACTCCAGCCCTAGTTGCACACAAGCACATGCACATGCACACACACCTACACACACCTACACACACACACACCCATAGTGACAGAGAAACACCCTTTCACTAATTCTTGCCTAACACCTAACATGCTCTACTTAAGGGCTTAGTACAATGCATGTCCATATAGCTCAGGGCCGACCAAACTGGGGCCCGACAATGGAGGGGGAGGGGGGTGGGACAACTTAGGGCTCTGTTAAAGATTCCGCAATAGAAATGTAAAGGTAACGTCCAATTGAGCTGACTTATGCATCGTTTTTTTGTGGCAGCAGTCTCCGCTAAGTAGCTAAGTAGCAGGTAGCCTATTGGTTAAGTGCTTTAGGCCAGTAACCGAAAGGTCGCTGGTTTGAATCCAATGAGCCGACTAGGTGAAAAAAATGTCAGTGTGCCCTTGAGCAAGGCACTTAACCCTAGTCGCTCTGGATAAGAGTGTCTACTAAAATGTACAATATCAATCATGCTGTAAAGCTGAACTTCTGCAATGCAGAAGGAATATAGCCCTTAGTTCTCAATTTACTGTTGGGAGTTAGAAAATTATAATACACAGGTGCAAATTTGAAATTTGGTAGTGCATCCATCAGCAGCTTTCCACTTTCCAGCTCTTCACTCACAGTATGCACAGCCCCGTTGTTGCGCGAGGACTGTGAGGAGGGATTTTACCCTCTGCAGCAATGGGGCTGTGCGGACTGTGAGTGAAGTGCTGAAACTGAAATATTCATTTTTAGAGCCGAAACTGAAATATTCATTTTTAGGAGCGCGCAGGGATAGAAGTTGGTCCTTGTGCTTCTTGGCTATTTACATCGTTTTGTTCACACGCTAGGTTGTATTTCAATGTTAGTTTGAGCTTTCTCAACTGCTGGCGATTGGAGAAGAGAGGTCGGGGAATCTCATCTCTGACATGGCAGTGTAACCAACCACCAGCCCTTAAAGGGGGCAGCTGAACATTTTTGTCTCACCTAAGTGACTCAAATATTTGAGGGTACATTGTGCTTAATTGAGCATGGACATTTCCAATACCGTTTTGATGCATTTCAGTCACTTACTGATTGTTACACCTTTCCCTCAAGTCATTTGACACATATCCAAGTTATTGTCCTTCTGAACATAGACACTTGGTTGCAGTTTCTGTGCCACAAAATTTTTTTAAATTTTTTTTATACATATTTAATACTGGTAATCAGAATGTGTTGTTTGGTGTCAAGTTATATGGCTACAATTTTATTAATGTTTGAAGTGTGATTTGTATGATTGCTTACTAAAAAGCTATTGTTTAAAGACCAAAAATAGCTATTATTTACCTTTTATATGTCTAAATACATAGGCCTAATGTGTATTTGTTTGGCCCACTGCCCAAAGATTTGAGTACCCCTGCTACAGCTCATCTAAGCACATACAGTCACATCCTAAATGATTAGCACCCTTGATTAAGATGAATATTAAAATAAATAATACAAATTCTGAGCTATATTGTATGCAAAAAAATTATTGACACCCCTTACGATTATTATAAATAAAATAAAATAAAATTGTATCTGCATTACAATCCACTTTTTAAAGTTAATCTCAGTTTAAGGAACTGTATTGTGGCCTTTCATGGTTTTGGGTTTCACTGAGCTATAAAAATGAGGTAACCCACATGTAAAATCTATTTGTCAGCCATCACCATGGGGAAAGGCAAAGAACTCACATGTGAAAAGAGACATGCCTGGAGTTTGCTAAATGGCATTGGCACTTGGAACCGGGTGCTATGGTCAGATGAGTCAAAAATAGAGCTCTTTGGCCACTCAGACCAGTGGTGGGTTTGGCCTTGAAAGAAGGATGCATATGCAGAAAATAACCTCATACCTACTGTAAAATATGGTGGAGGATATTTGATGTTATGCGGCTGTTTTGCTTCCACTGGTCCTGGGGCCTTTACCACTCCTGCATTGTCTTCACTGTGTGCTTAGGGACGTTGTCCTGTTGGAAGGTGAACCTTCACCCCAGTCTGAGGTCCTGAGCACTCTGGAGCAGGTTTTCATCAAGGATTGCTCTGTACTTTGCTCCGTTCATCTTTCCCTCGATCCTGACTATAATAATAATAATAATATGCCATTTAGCAGACGCTTTTATCCAAAGCGACTTACAGTCATGCGTGCATACATTTTTGTGTATGGGTGGTCCCGGGGATCGAACCCACTACCTTGGCGTTACAAGCGCCGTGCTCTACCAGCTGAGCTACAGAGGACCACAGTCTCCCAGTCCCTGCCATTGAAAAATCCCAGCAGCATGATGCTGCCACCACCATGCTTTACCGTAGGGATGGTGCCAGGTTTCCTCCAGAAGTGACACTTGGCATTCAGGCCAAAGAGTTCAATCTTGGTTTCATCAGACCAGATCATTTTGTTTCTCATGGTCTGAGAGTCCTTTAGGTGCCTTTTGGCAAACTCCAAGTGGGCTGTCATGTGCCTTTTACTTAGGAGTGGCTTCCATCTGGCCACTCTACCATAAAGGCCTGATTGGGGGAGTACTGCAGAGATGGTTGTCCTTCTGGAAGGTTCTCCCATCTCCACAGAGGAACTCTGGAGCTCTGTCAGAGTGACCATCGGGTTCTTGGTCACCTCCCTGACCAAGGCCCTTCTCTCCCGATTGCTTAGTTTGGACGGGCAGCCAGCTCTAGGAAGAGTCTTGATGGTTCCAAACTTCTTCCATTTAAGAATGATGGAGGCCGCTGTGTTCTTGGGGACCTTCAATGCTGCATAAGTTTTTGGTACCCTTCCCCAGATCTGTACCTCGACACAATCCTGTCTCGGAGCTCTATGGACAATTCCTTCAACCTCATGGCTTGGTTTTAGCTCTGACATGCACTGTCAACTGTGGGACCTTATATAGACAGGTGTGTGCCTTTCCAAATCATATCCAATCACAGGTGGACTCCAATCAAGTTGTAGAAACATCTCAAGGATGATCAATGGAAACAGGATGCACCTGAATTTTGAGTCTCATAGCAAAGGGTCTGAATACTTATGTAAATAAGGTATTTCTGTTTTTATTTGTAATACATTTGCAAAAATGTCTAAAAACCTGTTTTTGCTTTGTCATTATGGGGTATTGTGTGTAGATTGATGAGGGGGGAAAACTATTTAATCCATTTTGGAAAAAGGCTGTAATGTAACAAAATGTGGAAAAAGTCAAGGGGTCTGAATACTTTCCGAATGCACTCTACATCAAAATCCACAAAGAAATTGTTAATTGACCACAAAATCAACATTTTGTAATGGCCATCTCTGTCTCCGTACTTGAACCCCATTGGAAACCTGTGGTTTGAGTTGAAGAGGGCTGTCCATAAGCGCAGACCGAAGAATATCAAGGATCTGTAAAGATTCTGTATGGAGGAATGGTCTAAGATCCCTCCCAATATGCTCTCCAATCTCATAAAACATTATAGAAAAATGCTCAGTGCCGTTATCCTCACAAGGGGAGGGTACACAAAGTATTGAAGACAGAGGAGCCAATCATTTTGACACCTATCTTTTTTTTACGACTTTTATTTTAACTTTTTTTTTCTCCTTACTTTTTCTCTGAGCAATTGTGTATGTATAAAATAATAAAATTGTCAACAAAAAATGTTTTGCATACAATATAGGTCAGTTTTTGTATTATTTATTTAATACCGTCTTTTTTTCTCATCTTTATCAAGGGTGCAAATAATTTCGGATGTGACTGTATAGTCTACTAAAATCACAGTATGATTTAAGTAAATTATAAAATCATTAAAGAGTTAATCAATTGTGTAATCTAGTGGATTTTGATGGTGTCTGACACTACCAAAATCCTGAGTGGAGATAAAGCACATATTTCTCCACAGCACTGGATTTTGGCGCTATTAAATAAGTAGCTTCAGACACCATCAAAACCCACTAGGTGGAGCCATTTCCACAGTAAGCACTGTCAACTAGCCCCTCAAAATAGCCAGCCTACATTGTCAAGTAAAGGAACAGCAAGTGCAAATCTTCAACTCTATATGACATATTGTGCAACATCAACTAAATCAATAAACAATCAAATAAATCAAAATAAATCAAATCATAAATGCCTTATGACATTCTGTAGGAATGGATAGACATTTATTAAGAAAGGTCCAAGGTCAAGTGCGGTGTGACGCAGTGGATCAGTGGGTCTCTAGGGCGTCCTGAGGTTTCTGTGCTGGAGCAGGTAGAGAGATCCCAGGCCACTGAGGACGGTGAACAGGCACGTGATGATTCCTTCCCTCCAGGTCTGCCACTGTGCGGACCCCACCTAATACACACACACACAGAACATCAGGTGTGAATGAATGACATATTTTATTAGGAATCTCTATGAAGGAGGACATCAAGCAATCAATCAAATGTATAAAGGCCTTTTTACATCAGCAGTTGTCTCAAAGTCCTTTAAAAGTAACCCGGTCTAGTATGACACATTCTCTTTCTTCTTGATTGTTATCCCTCTATTAACCTATTGTTCTCTTTCTCCCCTCTCACTCCATTGAACTTACTCACCTTTCCCTTGGAGAACATACTGTTCACCTCATCCCCGATCACCCTCAGCTGGGCACTACAATGCTCAGAGGATTCCCCTACAGCACACAGTCTGTGGAGTCGAATAGGCTGTCCTATTGCTCTTCTCACACTGGCCCTCTTCACTGGTTCAAACAGGAATAGAAGAGGAAGAACACTTGTATCCATATCTTACAATGTATGAACATCTAGAATTGTTTGGGTATCTCCTATCACAAATGTTATCACATAATTGAGAGTAATTACACTACTGAATGGAAATGATGCCTGTTAAATTGTCATATCACATAAATAGAAATGCAATAATATATGCACAAACTGTTTCGGTTTGGAAGCATGCGGCCGCCCTAAACGCGTCAGCATGCTTCAGTTCGGCTGTGCTCGCATACTCACTTAAAAGACCTTCGCTTGAAAAACGAGAAAGAAGCGGCAATTGTACTGTTTGTCTATTTTGAAACGCCGTAGCCAGTATACACTTCCTCAAAATAGTCCAAATTAATATACGATAACTCAAGAAATCTGTCATACATTTTGATGTTTTTGCAGAGGAGATGTAAAGGCGTCATCATGCTTCCCAGCCGAAACAGTTCGAAATAATTTGTGCATATATTATGGCGACATTTTGTGACGTTTTTGACTGCGGTGAGTGTTTTTTTCCGCTGTTCGGGCACACAAAACGTTTTCTAGAGGCAAGCCAAAGTTCGGAGCCGAAGTCTACACCCCTTCGTCACACCCAAAATTAATGACAGATTTCTTGAGTTAATTTAGATTAATTCTGCATATTTTGAGGAAGCGTACATTAAAGCGTCTCAAAATGGACAAACTACTATTGGCGCTTTTTTCTCGTATTTCAAGCGAAGGTCTTTTAAGGGAGTATGGAAGCACACTCGTTCGATTCGGCTAGCCGAGTTCGCCAGCCAAACTGAAGCATGCTGACGCCTTTAGTCTAACTAAAAAAAATTGTGCCAAATTTCGCTATGTTATTTTTTTTCATGGATGCCAACAAATACTTTATTTAAGAATCCCTACAGTTGACCAATCACGTACACTTCAGCTCCCGAATTTAGGCTGGCCTTGAGCAAAAATGTGACTTGCCCGAACAGCCGTAAAAACCTTTACCGAAGTCCAAGACGGACAAAAATATCACAAAATGCAATCATAATATATGCAAGAACTCTTCAGAACTGTTTCGGCTGGGAAGCATGCGGATGCCTTGCCTATGCTAATAGAATACAGTCAGTCTATGCCACATTATAAACAGATTACACGGTTCATAGACATGATCATAATTTCCTATTCTTAGCACTCACCCAAACAAAAATTATAAGGCTGGTTGGAATAAGATCCTTATTAATTAACAGTGCATCCTCTGATTTCTGAGCAAGTAACGCTGCTTAAAAGTAATAAGGACTGGCACACAGAAAATAAACAGGTATACTGCTAACTGGTTAATTGACAATAAACATACAGTAATCTACACAGTTAATTAGAGAGTAAACAATCTCCACGACCAATCGACAAGCCAATCAGACTTCCTCTCCATTCTCTGTAGGTGAGACAGACCTACTGTGTGGGATCAGTGTTTTGTCTTTTGAGTGAAGACACAGGACTGACAGGATAATAAAAGTCTCACACACCCTCAATGGAGGACAAATCAACAACCTTCTAACTTTTCTTTAATCTCATTGAAATTTAAAGAGCACCTCAGATGTTTGACACCCACCGGCCTCCCCTGTTTTCAGTGCAGGTGTGTGGGTAAGGGCACAGGAGGAGCAGTAAGGCCCTGTGTCTTTCTGCAGGACCACCTGATGTAAAGTGGCCATGGGATGGTGCTGCTGCTGAATGCTGCTCTGCTGGTTCCTTTCCATCTCACTTTCCCTCGGGGCCTTAAACACTACAAGCCAAGGTTATCTCTCTCTCTCTCTCTCTCTCTCTCTCTCTCTCTCTCTCTCTCTCTCTCTCTCTCTCTCCTCTCTCTCTCTCTCTCTCTCTCTCTCTCTCTCTCTCTCTCCTCTTCTCTCTCTCTCATCTCTCTCTCTCTCTCTCTCTCGCTCTCTCTCTCTCTCTCTCTCTCTCTCTCTCTCTCTCTCTCTCTCTCTCTCTCTCTCTCTCTCTCTCTCTCTCTCTCTCTCTCTCTCTCTCTCTCTCACCCATGATAGGTTCAGTGTCAGGGCCTGGGATGGAGTGAGGACTCTGGGCTAGGGCAGTCAGGTAAGTCTGTGTGCCAACATCACAGAGCAAGGACCTCGGCTGATATCTGGCACCTCCGTCCCAAACCTGCCACGGGTGCAAAACATTGGACTGGGATGTTGATGTCCCAATGATGTTGGTGTCCAGGGCCTTTGACCTCTGGTAGTCTGAGACTCCAGAGTGGTGGTCTGCAATGTCTGTCCTACGGAGGTCTCTACCCGGATCTATCCCAATGCTGTCTGCTTTGGGGTGGACTGTCCGAAGTTGGTCCATTCTGAGCTGCTCACAATCATTTATAAAGTGAGTGTCTTCTCTTAGGGCCTCTGCCCTGTAGCTTAGGTGGCCCAACTTGTCTGTGCTAATGTTGTCTCTCACAGAAACGCCAGGCCTGATGTCTGTTCTGTCACTTTGGCAGTTGTCTATTCGGACTGTTTTGACATTTTTCCTTCTTTCTGTGCTGAGAATGTTGCTTTTGCTGAAGTTGTCTGGCTTTAGTGCTCTACGGTATTCTTCTATGGTAGTGTTCTTTGTTCTGTGGCTGCCTATACCAGGGCTCTTGGTTCGACCGTCCCTTGAAAGCACTGTTACAACTGGTGGCTCAGGAGACAGCTGTCCAGGAGACTAAAGGGAATAATGTCTGTATGAGGGCAGGCCATTTTTGTTTATGACACATTTTTAGCAATAGTGGGCCAACCCCTTCTTATTAATTTCCATGGCTTGTGTTTTAACAGAGGACTAGTGTTTCCCATCAAACATTTTTGTAGGCAACCAGATAATAAAACATGTTCATTTCATGTGCTACAGGTGAAACTTACCTTCAACCGGTGGCAATGGTCCTTTTCAGTTTTCCGCACAGGTTCCCTCCACACATGTTGTAGCGTTTTATCTGTCTGGAAACTCATAATTGAAAGGTGGAGGGCGTAGGCTATGTTCCTGAAGGTTCAGACCCTACATAGCCTCATTCCTAGACCTCCTTGTTTGCCTCCTATTTTGTGCTTTTATCCTATTGATTGTGCTTCGTTAGAATGTTGGTTTAGAATCCTATTTGAGGTCATAATTAAAAAACTAGAACCTTATTTGTGATGCCCATAGAGAAGCAACCAAACATCAGATAGGCCTAAATAAACCCTGGCATAGTCTGTAAAGCAATATGTAGCCTATAATAAAGTCTAAATTAGCTCTAATAAAAGTGTAGTCACTAGGGGATAGTTATTGGACAGATATGCCCTATTCAATTCTTATTTTCCCCAATGTTATTAGTGTTTTCTAATAATTAAATTGGTTGAAGCTTCAAGTTGACCAAATGAATGTAAACTAAATGAATGAATAAATGAATGAATGCATGAATGAATGGATTAATTAATTAATATCCTTTATACATTACTCTGTAGTAGTTCTGCTGTGTTCATAACCAAGTGGGAAGGTGTTATGAAGTCACCAGTTGGATGCATTCAGGTGCTTTTAACTAGTTGAGAAATGCTAATTGGCTAATGGCCAACAAGCTGCATCAACCATAACCAAAAAATTAGGCTACAGCTACCATGCTTGTAAACAAATGTTAGTGTTAAAAAAAAATATTAATAGATTGCTTTTTATAAATACTGTTTTGTTATTACCGTAAAAGTTGTTATCCAGGTCATTTCCTTAGTAGGTGAGGTCATAGGTCAGCATGTGGGTGAAGTCTTAGCTCAGGGATGATAGATGAGTTTCCCACTAATAGCCTAATTACGAGTTGGTTGGGAGTTCTAGTGGATTTTTCCCAGTCATATGTGGTAAATACCACTTTCCCAATTTGTTATGAATGCAGCATTACTTGGACTTCTGTGACAACTGCAACTTTAAGAAGTGGGGAATAAGAGAAAACATCACAATCTTCTCCAGGGGTGGAGCTTGCCTGGAAACCCGAAATTGAATTATATGTCGGGCAGAAAGGAGCTTTTGACATAATGTTGAATACAATTAAATGTTTATGTACTTTACTGGAAATATGAACAAACTACCAGCGCTTTAAAAAGTTGATGTAGCCTAATTACACTTTACTGTAGATATGTCTCACATTCCTACCTCCAAAAGGACCAATCGCACAGACAACCAGTAAAGTAGGTTAAAATATCATTTTATTCAACATTCTTGCTTGTAGAAGTCGTGACAGCAAACGTTCCTTATTCAAACGCAAATTTCTGCCCGACGTAGAATTCAATGCAATTCATCTTCGGGTTTCCAGGTAGGCTAAGGGTGGGGCATAGGCTACTATTATAAATTACAGCGTTCGACTTTACACTTCCTGTTTCACTGTACGCTGGATACGAACACATCACACAATGGCGACTAATGAATGGAAAAAAAGATGCGAGACAGAGTGGAATATCAAAGACATTTCGCTGCCCGACAGTGTGGATTGGAAGTTCGTCTACGAAGCGAAGCCGTTCGGTCGAAATTTGTTGAGGAATCCTGCGCCTCACGGTAGTTACGTCACAATATGTCGATTTGTATTGATAGTGGTGTATGTTTACTGCAGCTGTGGTGTTAGGTTTCACCGGAATAAAAATTAAAAGTTGTAAAGCTAATATCATTGATCTGGCATAGTACCTTAGTCTATGTTAGACATATCGGAGGCAAGGTTTGCCATAGGGGGCAAGGGTTTTGAAAAACTCAATGGTACATATTACGTTTTCAGGAACACTACAACATAGAGAAAGTAGTGTAGTGTTTGAACATCAATCGTTGGTTTTCTTTTGTTTAAAACAGGTTTAGACTAGAGAGTAGGTCAGTGGTATTCAAACTTTTTCAGCGAGGACCCCATTTTTTTCCGCAAGAATTTCTCGCGACCCCACTCCAAATCTAATGACACAACTTTAAAATCGGTGAATGTCGATTTTTACATCAACAAATCCCCTTAAATTCATTGCATTTTCATCTCTTATCAAAATGAAAAGAAACCAATAAATACATTTACTCAGTGAAATTGTGTTTTTCAAAAACGTTTGTATATTGTCCCATACAATAATCTGTACTCTTAATCTTTTGTTAAATTTGTATAAATATGGGTGTAAATGCAGTTGCCAGTGGGGTCACGACCCCGACTTTGAATACTACTGCTGTAGGTTAAAGTCCTTGGTTGTTATATTGACTCTGTCTTTCTCCTTCCCCACCCAGGTGTGAGTCAGGACTCCCCTCCTCCCGAGCGTGAACTGACAGGGTTTCCTCCAGAAGGACCTCCTCGCTCTGAACCAGAGGGTACATACTTACAGTATACAAGAACAAAATGTTGGCTATTATTTCCATTTATAAGACCATAAAGCAATAGAGGGGTAGACCTAATTGATTTCTAACATGAAGTGAAATTCCTTTCATGATTCATATCTTTCAATCTATAGGTGACTATACCGGCTGGACCACCAGCAGAGAGGACCTTGGTTATGACGCCAGCGGCGTACCACCGGGTGTCACCATCTGTTACCTGCCTAACTACAGGTGACGTGAGCGACAACTAACTGTCACCTTTGTTCAAATGAGCTACCCCTCCTTACCTTGTCATGGGCCTCACTATCAGTCAAGCTAGTCGTATAACCACTCCCTCTAAAGGCACATTCGTGCCTTAATTCACAATTAGTTAAAATCACACTATGCACACCAATGATGTAGTTGGAAACACTTATCTTCATCTATCTTTTTTACTACAAAACATAGAAACGTGCAATTTTACACGTTGATGTTGGGGTGGTGCTGGAGATGATGAATATGAAGTTAAAAAATTGTGACATTTCTCTTTAAGCCTTGCCCAGAGTTAAACACATTCTCATTGGAGATTCTTAATTGAAAGAGCTTTTTAGTCCAAGACTAGTCTTAATCTGGGTGCGGCCAGTAAACCAGACCTAAATGCTTTAAGTCTTATCAGAGGCGGTGATAGAAAGATACTGAATTATCTCTGACTGGTGCTGTGTTTCTGTGTTCTCAGCTGGTTTACCTTGGAGCAGAGAGTGGACCTGAAGGCTGAGGGAGTATGGGACGAGCTGTTGGATGGTTTCCAACCTGACATCGTCATCAAAGACTGGTGGGTTTCAACCTGACATAGCCTAAGCATGCATTCATGACTCATGTTACATTACTATGCGTCTATGTCAACATCACAACTTGGGACTCCAATAATGTTGCAATCAGTGTAGTGTTTCACTACCTCTATCCAGAACCACAACATTATGCAACAAACACTGTTAGATCGGCTCTTCTTGTATTCATATTTTCGTTCTTCATACATAGGAACAGTTTTTGACCTTTGACCCCTGTAGGTATGAGGAGAGCCAACTGCACGAGTCCATCTACCAGCTGCGGGTCAGATTGCTGGGAGCAGATGGACAGACAGTCATCTCAGAACACACCGTGAGCCCCACTGAGGAGCTTAGTGAATACTCCCACAACTGGAAAGAGGTGGGGCCTAGACATGTTTTGTTATGAGTTTCTATTATACATATTAGCTTGAAAGACTGATTTTGTTTGATCATTTTATATACTTATTTGTGCAGTAAGTCATTTTCTAACTGTCTGTCTATGTAGGTGTCCCATGTGTTCTCAGGCTACGGGCCTGGGGTGAGGTATGTCCACTTCCTCCATAGACTGAAGAACAAGTTCATGGTGGAGTTCTTCCCCACCCTGGTCACAGGAAGTACTGTCCTTGTCAAGCCAAGCAAATTCAGCCAATAGAAAACTTTCTGAAGGACCACAATGGATACTTTGGGAAGTGATATCCACATTAGACCATGCGTCCAATGTCCATATTTACAGTCATTGGTAGTGGAAATTTAGATCATATATTGGGTTAATTTTACATTCTACATTACAAAGTACTTTTTAAAATAAAAAAATAAACCATCTTTAAAATGAAAAACATTGATATTCTTGTTGAGAACCTTCATATTCTCATGGAAATGAGTCAAGCATTTTGATTACACTTCATTTGACATCTTTCAGTCTGCCATTTACAAATAGACCTACATGAGCAGTGAGGACCAATCTTCAAACAGCTGTATTATATAGCGCTAATAGGCTCAAATGCAACTACATTTTACATCATTTAGCAGACACTCTTATCCAGAGCGACTTACAGTTAGTGAGTGCATACATTATTTTATACTGGCCCCCCGTGGGAATCAAACCCACAACCCTGGCGTTCAAACGCCATGCTCTACCAACTGAGCTACATCCCTGCCTGCCATTCCCTCCCATACCCTGGACAATTGTGCGCCGCCCCATGGAGTCTCCCGGTCGCGGCCGGCTACGACAGAGCCTGGATACGAACCAGGATCTCTAGTGGCACAGCTAGCACTGCGATGCAGTGCCTTAGACCACTGTGCCACTCGGGAGGCCAACTAGAAATGTGTAGACTAATATTCCATTTAAGTAGGAGATAAACATGTAGCCCTAACGTCATGTAGGGCTGAATGAAGGTCTCCTATCAACCCAAATATTTTTTCTGAACATATACTTAAATGCAAGTATTTATTATTTTACGTTTCTTTCTCTAGTATTTCATATTTTTTATAAGTAGCCTAGCCTACTTAATGTTAAACTTATTATTTTGATTCAGAGGGGTTGGGTTAAATGCGGAGACACATTTCAGTTGAATGCATTCAGTTGTACAACTGACTAGGGATACCCCTTTCCCTTTAATTTGCTTCTTTAAACAGTACTTTAGTACATTTTATTTCATAGGCCTTCTATGTATGCCGCGTTCACGTGCTAGTCGGAACTAGAAAACTTGGAAATGTCCGACTTGCTTAATGGTTGAACGCGGCACGTGTACAACTACAACCAGGTAGGAAGTCGGAAATATCCAAGTTTCCTAGTTCCAACTAGCACGTGAACGCGGCAATATTCTCTGCTATAAAGAGACTGGTCCGTTGTAAGACCAATGATAGTGTTGGTTTCGCGGTTGCGCAGTTTACGCTGTGTGTGATCACCCGCATGGAATCCAGCATCAGTAGGGGAATGTGAGTAAACGGGAAAGTGCGTCTGTGAGTCCACCTGTTTGGGGAGAAGAGGACAGTTTTACTGGGGACCTGTTCTGATTGTTTCGAAGCAATGTCAGCATTACGGCGAAACGTGCCATAGGCGACAAGGTAAGAATTCATGGTTAGAATAAATGACAGGTGGACGGAAATACTTTTTCATAGTTGACCGTTATGCTTCTGTCGGTTATTCACAATACAGTTTAACATTGTGCGTGTGTACACAGATTGTTTCATGTAAATAATTTAAAGTAAATCATCAATATTATTTTGAGGTCAACTATTCAGCAGCTCAACTAGTGCGCATCCCCCTGTCGATTCTCGTCGCTACGTAGCCTACGTTCATTCTAGGCAATTGTAATTGTCATGACTGGAAATGGACCATCATGGTTGAGCATGTTTAATGTAATGCAGGTGTTCATGTTATCTATGCTGTTTGAATTTATATAGAATATAAAGTTTCAAATACGTTTTAAATCAATATCAGACAATATTAGACACATTTTGTCATGTCAACCCACAGAACATAATAGCTTACTAAATTGTAGGTTACTTTTCCCATTTAAATCTTACACTTTCAGTTTTATTCAATGGAATACAAAGTCTCTTATTCCCTTAGGCCATGTTTATTAGCCTATTATAAGTGAATAATGTCCGTGATATGAACTCAATTTCTAACTTTATCGCCTAAATTGTGTTCTGATGCGTCCTATTTATAGACAGTCAGTCATTAAAATATGTTGTAAGACCAGTGACGACCCGTCATTCAGGGCAGGTGGGGCAGAGCCACATTTTTGGCACAAAAAAAAAACCTTTTTTTTTTTAGGGGGGGGGGGGGGGGGGGGGCTGTTTTGCATGTTATTTTTGCATTAATATGTGTCACATATCAGTTTGCAAACAATGTAAAAATTAAGAATCATTGAGTTAATAAAGCCGCATACAAACATGGTCTCGTTTTTGCTTTCTTGAGTGAGGCAGCTCCAAAATGCAGGTGTTTCAGCCTAGCTCAGTGTTTTCTGTGGTGGTTGGGCAGCCAGCGGAAAATACTGAGTGTAGGGGTTGGTAATGTTCTCTAGTTGCGCCGTGATTGGCTCAGTGTTCTCTCACTCATGGGGACACTAGTCACCGGCAAATCTAAGGGAGAGCTCGAAAATTCAAGCCCTTTGGGTGCTGCCATAGAGTTACATTAGAAGTGCCCATCCAAGAAGGCACAGATAAAATGACGTCAAATCATATATCTACAGTAGCTTTGATTGGACTGATCATGTCAAGATCATACTTTGAAAAGCTTAGCTAGCAGTCATCATCATGAATCAAGTCAACAATCTACTGGCAAATCCTTTATAATCCTTGTCATATGAAGAGAAATAATGAAGAGAAATTATAGATAAAACGTATCGGTGCTCATTACACAAGAAGTTGGAAATCGCAAATTCAACAATGAGTGGTTTGGAAGGAATCAGTGGCTAACTGCAAGCATTGCAAAGCAATCACTAGCCTGCTATTCAGTGGAGTGGGTGTGTGGCCCCAAATCTGGGTTTAAGGGTCTCTTTTCCAAGCTTAAAATGATAAACATTCAACATTGGCCATGCTGTCAATCCAGCATGATTTCTGCCGCGTTCAAAACAACTTAACTCGGAACTGGGAAATCTGACTTCAGTGAGTTCAAGACAAATGGGGACTCGGGGGAAAAAAAAAAAACGTTTTGAACGGTCATCCAACTCGGAATTGTAAGTCGGGAACTCGGGCCTCTTTCTAGAGCTACGACCTGAAGATCACTGACGTCATCATGATTCAACCTTGTTTTTTTCAGAGTTCCCCGTTGTCTTGAAAGCACTATAAATCCAGAGAATGCCAGACTTCGATGACAAACTTTGATGACAAAATTTGCCCACGAAGGACCGCCGCACCACCTTCCTGTTCAAGTGAGCACATCACAACAAGGTGAGTCCAAAAATGTATTGTATGCTGCTGCATAAATTATGTAATATGCCAGGGTGATATGTATACTGTAGCTAAGAAAGTAATACTAAGTGTATGTTGTGTAGTAAGCTGTTAGTAGCCCATGTGCCTCACCCTAATAATTTGGTCTGTTTTCCCCTCTTAATTTCGCCTACTGTTCTGACTTGGTGGTGCACATGTAGCCTATAATCTGTTTTAGAGAAATGTAATCATCGAATATTGTAAGAGCTTTCATTGTTTGCTAATATGCCTCCTTTATTTATCCTACGGTTCTGACTTGATGTACAGGGAGAACACTGTAAGAACAGCCCATGTTCTGAATTCTGTCGCTGTACATTTCAAAAGTGCTGAACAAATAGGTATATTGACTACGTCCGTCCTAGCCAGCTCATTAATGTCTGAATCGAAATTACGGATTGCCTCTTATCCGCTTATCGTCCCCTTATGCCATAGTTTGTACATCTCAATTGCCAGTAGAAACCACATTTGTTTAAGCAAGTCAGCCATATCAGTTATGTTTTTTTAAAAGGCAGTAAATGATGAGGCTGAATGAACTGTTTCGCTGCCAGACAAGGCTCTGCTGATAGCCAGGTGTAGCAGTGTTAAGGTGTTGGGACTGCTGTTGGGACTCTGCTGTTGGGAACAGCTTTATGTAGGCCCTAACAGTTTGTGGGCACCGTTTGTCACCGTTATAGTGCAATTAATTTATTGTTTAGTGTTGGGTTGTGTAGTGGCTTTGCTGGCATGCATCCCCCCCACATTTTTTTTTTGCCCCACCAAGATTTACATGCTAAGACTAAAAAACTCCCAGCTCAGAGTAGGTTTTGGGATCTGTGTTGAAACGTATCTATAGCAGAACAGCAATGATCAAATGCTTAAATACATTAAGAACTTCTGATCATTTTCTTCGCTTTGTACCTGACTTGCATATCTTAGACCACCTTTTGCTAAACTTTAAATACAAATGTAATCAGTGAATACAAAATTCACTGTTAAGGGTTTTGTTCACCGAATATTAACACATTGTTTTCATCAGAAGAGAAATGTGCAATTGTGTTCACTGTTTTTGGCAATCAGTAAATACTACTGCACAAAATTCTAAATCACCCCATCAGTGTCATACTATGTACAATATAGGGAAATATCTAGGCAATGGGGACTGTCTAATTTGTATATATTTGTATATTTTTCATAATATAGTTTTGATGAATGTATTTGTTTTGAGAAGGCAACTACATTTAAAAAAAGCATTTACTGTTTTGCAAAAGGCCACGGAGTTCTGTGTCTTGTACACGATTGCGAAAAACTGTAAGACACTGCCCCGCCAGGAGTAAAATCCACTCATAAAAGTTTCTCAGCTGGTAATCACGACAGTTTGAGGTACCGCAAAGGAAAGATAGTAATGACGCTTATTGACATTGTTGCAAATGATGGGGAATAACCAATTGGGATGAGGCATCGCCAGCTGTGAACTAATAGCGCGCTTCAAACAACCATTTGACTCTACATCAAATGTTGCAATGGTAAAACGTTTCATATAATTTTTTCCTGACACATACTGTATGTTGGCATGCATAACCCCCTTTTCTTTCTCTCAAATATGTATTTTTTATTTGTTGTATTTTTAACAAATTCTGAAATTTTGAATAATGTGATAGGAATATTGCACTGAATCATACAAAGCTTGCTAAAAGTGGAATTTTGTTAATATTACCGTTATATCAACACCCATTCAGCAACTCTAAATCGCTTTTGGCACACTAGGCATCAAGTCACTTGTGATAATGTTGCATAAAACGTTTGAAATCATTAATCACGAACACTTATGGGTATGTTCAATTATTTATATATACACTAGATGAAAAATATTTTGGAAGCTATAGAAATGCATTCATCAGTGGCTTGTATTCATTGATGCCAAGGGAATCCAGGCTTCCCCCAAAAATTGACCAAAAAAAATAAAGAATTTATCTTTCGTCTCTGTGTTTCATAATTTTCCTTCAATTCGCAAGAGGCTGAATGTATCTCACAGGAGAAAGCATCCAAGCGAGTGAAACATCACCCCTCTCTCTCTCTCTACGTGTAGGCCATGTATCTGATGCTGTCTGGTCC